TATAGCCTGGTTGTAGTGGACTATGTATATTACAAACTATATGGATAATAAAAGGTTTTTTATTAAGTTGAATCATGATTTCAAGTCCTAAGCAAATAGGAATAAAATAAGCTTGATTGTTATGATTTTCTTCTTCTAAAAAGATCCACCAATCTCATAAATATGGACTATAGTAAAGCTCTAAAATAATAGAACCAGTTGTAACTAGTTTTCTAGGTGTTATATATATATTTGATATTTTATTTTTAAAGAAAATAAAGATTTTAAATACAATTTTTTTTGTTAAAAAACATAGTACTATAGTTTATAATAGTAATTTCTATAGATCACATGTAGATTTGCAATTAAACCTTTTAAATTATTTTAGATCTGGGTTTGATTTTAAAATAATTAAAAAAATAAATAATAGTTTTTTAAAGTAGTTTAAATAAACCTGTTTTAAGGTAACACACATCTAAATATGGTTATTTTTTTACTATTTTATATAATAAAATATAGTAAAAACATAGTAAAAATCTTATAAAAATTGATTAAATTAAATTACTTATAACTTTTTATATACTAAACCAATTTTAATAATTTTATTATCATTAAAATCAAAAAACCTAAAGCTACAACTTCTATTAATATTTTATTTGAATCTAATCAAATAAAATTTTTGTTTAATTATTTTTTAATTATTTTTTAGTATCAAATTAAATTTTAAACTAATTAATATAACTTTTGATAAGTTAACTAATTTTAAATATACTAAAATAAAATATAAATATAGGATTATTTATTAAATAAATGAATTTTGCTATTTATCATCACTGGTGATTATCACCAGTGTTGCTATATCTCAAAAATGTACTAAGTAAATGGGATCGGGTCCTCTAAGTAAAAATGTTCAGGACCCCAAAAACCTCACGAGAACTGAGATCGGGCCCTATCGGGCCCTTATAGTAGTTATATATATATTATATAAAAAAAACAATAATTCTCTAATTTCTAACCTAACCCTAACTAATCTTAGAACCGGTGATGATCACCAGTGGTGATATGTAGTAATTTTCTAAATAAATTTAATTTAAAGTTATTAATACCAAATTTTCAAAATTTAACTTATAATACTATACTAAATTTAGTACAATATACTAAATTTAATATAGCAAATAAATACTCATTAATAAAAATTTTTTAAATTTATATAACTTTTGATCTATTGAACCAATTTGAATGATTTAACTACCAAAATAATCTCTCAAAGAGAAGTTCTAACAAGCTCAAAATCATTAAAATTCACTTACAAAATTACAAAATAGATAATTTTTTGTATTATTTAAATATATATAAAATAATACAAAATATTGTCTATTTTGTAAACTTGTAATTGGATTTTAATGATTTTGAGCTTGTTGGAACTTTTTCTTTGAAGAATTTATTTTGGTAGTTAAATCATTTAAATTAGCCTAGTAGATCAAAAGTTATTTAAGTTTAAATATATAATTTTTATAATTTTAATCAGAATTATAATTTGATATTTTGAGAACTCCACTCACCCACCCCAAAATTACATAATTTCTAGAAGCTTTCTAATTTTACTATAGTAAATTTATCACCTACAACTCTAAAGCTAACAAAATCTTTTAACTTTTTATAAATTAGAATAACAAGTCATAGCTAGATATATTTTATTATAGCTAAACAAGACTTGCAATTTTGAATATTTTTTATTTGTTTTTTTTTTTGGTATTAAGGTGACCTCTCTGGCTAGTAACTTTTTATTAAGTGAACATAATATTATACAATTACAATAAGAATATGGGCTGCTATCAATAGAAATAAGGCAGATTGATATTTTAAAAATAATTAATATTTTAACTTTCACATCTCATATCTCAATGAATTTTAAGGCTATATTGATGATTTAATAATCAAAAGAAAGCTTAGATTGTATACTTTCTTTTGAATAATAAATCATAAGACAGCCTCAAAATCCATCAAGATATTGGCTGTGAAAGTTAAAGTATTAATTTATTTTAAAATGTTAATCTGCTTTATTTTTATTGATGGCAGCCCATATATCAAACTATATATATACTTTTAGTATCTAATTTAAGTAGTCTATTTGAACACTATCTAACATATCTATACCCCAACTATAGAAGATACTTATTTAAACTCTCTAGTTACAATTGTTGATTACTCACAATCTAACCAAGATATAACTTATTATTTGGTAGTAGCTTTTGTGATATCTATAGATTTTACACTCACTTTAGGATTTACTAACTTCAATATTTGGGCTAGTTTATTCATGAAATAAACTTAACAAAATAGTTGATGTCTTATTTATGTTTTTATCTACATGTTTTCTAACTAATACCTGTTATGCTGCCATTACCAGATTCATATCTCAAAACAACTTTTAAGATACTACTATAACCTGATCCATGTTTTAAGCTACAACCTTTCTAATTAGTTGCTTAGAGCTATGTTATTAATTACTTGATTATTTTTTATCAGAGACCTACCCCCTCTCCCTCTTCCTTAATATACAAATAGTCAGGTTCTTTATATATAATTTTAACTTTTTTTATCTTCTCCCCCCTAAAAAATCACCTGATTTTTGTCAGCTCCTTTATTATGTACTTTTTGCTCTTGTAAGATTTACAACAACTCTGATATCTATATTTGAATTGTCTTCTATCTAAATTCTTTTATTAGTCTTTCTTTTACTTTCAGCTAGCAACCTAAAAGAGTTGGTCTGCTCAGGCTTTAGGTGCCTTATAGTTACTCTTCTCTTGATTTATACTTTTGAAGTGTATATTCTTTTCTTTTAATGCATTATCTAGTGGTTTAGTTAGTATATCCCACACTTAAAGATCTGGTCATTTGGTTTTCTGATCTTGGGCCCTGGTTCAAATTTAGCCCTCCTATAGTACTATCAAAGATCATTGCTATATCCCAACTTAGGACTTGCCAAACAAGTTTTTAGTTATTTTTGTTTCTCAGATTTATTGCACCAAAGCTCTTATTACTAGATAGTACAACCGAGATTACAGATTTGATTCTAGATCCAACTAATAATCAATAGCCATCAACTATAATAAACATTTTTTATTTGTATAAATTTTATATATATAATAAAATTCTGTATTTGAGCTTTGACAAAACTGTCAAAAAATCAAACAAAATTTGCTTGTATTAGTATACTATATAGATATAGGCTGCTGTCAAATCTTCTCTAGTATTGGTATAAAGTTTTTACTACACAATCATATTAAAAAAATTTATTTAGGTTAGAGCTAAAGTATAAAGGTTTAAGAGTTTTTAATAATAAAATCGTTAATACACAAAGGTGGTTTCTTATACAAATTTTTGAAAGGTTTGAATTTCTCAGATCGTGTTACGTTATATCAAATCACGATTAATTATTGGCTAATTTTCTGAAACATCACATGATACTGGGGTAGCTTGCTGTCAATAGAAACAAGGCAGATTGACATATTAAAAAAATCAATACCTTAATGTTAACTTTCACAGCTCATATCTCAATGAATTTTGTGACTATCTTGATTATTTAATATTCAAATAAAGCTAAGATCGTATGTTTTCTTTTGACTATTAAATCATTAAGATAGCTTCAAAATCCATCGAGATAGGAGCTGTGAAAGTTAAGTTATTGATTTTTTTTAAAATATCAATCTGCCTTATTTCTATTGACGGCAGCCCATATACGTATAAATATAGTTTTTATTTATTAGTGTTGGCAGTTTTATCGGCCAAACAAAATTGGTGGCCGTTTTTGGCCAGTAAAATGCCAACACCGAGTTGGCTATACGTAGTAAATAGGTAGCCAATTAACATACCCAATTTCATATTTATTATCACATGACACAGACATGCCTACCCTTGGACACCGTGCTCCCAACCCTATTTACAAAAAAATATTTTATTATATAATATTTCTTGTAAATAAAAGCAAAATTGCAAAAAAAAAAAAATTTTTTTTGCATTAGTTATATTAGGCCATATAAAATTAATTTTTTAATTTTATTTTCAAAAAATTTTATATGTTAAAAAGTTCACCCGGTTAAATAAATATAGTAAAAAATTTTTTTCAAAATTTTGTTGAATTTGACCCGGCCGGGTTATGGGAATCAATTAATTAAGTTTGTGTGGCCTTAGTTATAGTATTATAAATATTATATTGTACGTATAATTTTTTTTTTTTTTAGAGACGCAAGTATTTGTTTGGCTAATGCAAGTCACATGATCACTCTTCATAAACTTGGCGCAAAAAACGAGACGCGACGATCGTTATAAATGTAGTACAGATTATTTTCGATAACGTACGTACCAGGTGGCTTTTTTACCGTCACAAATTTCCCATTGTATTTCACTTCGGAAGCTTGCCGGGTAGTACGTAAAGAAAAAAATCAACTAGGTAGAATCTAGATATCATAAACTTATACATACCCCACATCAGTCTAAACAAAAAAAAACAAGCGTTTAAGTTATATAAATTGTTAACATTGCAGTTTTTTCTCCTTAAACATCCCGCCAGCTTTAACAACGAAAAGTTATCTATCCAATAAAGTCTTCCATTGTTTGTATCGTAGACGATAACTTTCTAAAAATCTATTTCATAGACAAGTTTGCCTGCCCACTCTCAATAAAGTATACGAACGACTTTCTTGCTAATCCATTTGTACATCGCCATCGTTTTAACTAAACAACTCGTTTAACATAATTCTCCATCTGTGTAACAAAAGAAAAGAAAAGCAAAAAAAAGAAAAAAAAAATCTCTCTAATACCTTTCGTCATCGGTGACCTTTTGTTTTAGAAACTCTCTGCGCTAGTGGCATCAAACAAATCAAAGGACTGCCACGAAAAACTTATACGCATTAATAACAACATTAATAATAAAAGCGACCCATTTATCATTTCGGAGCCTTTGTAACATAGTACTGTAAAAAAAAAAAAAAAACAAAAATTTATAATATACCATACAAATGGCTAATAATCTTAATCAACAGTCTCACCACCATCTCAAGTGAGTTTAATTTTTTTTCTCATTTCCTTTGTATTTACAGCGTGAAGGTTTATTTATGTATAAACGAACTTATTAAAATCGAGAATAGTTTCAATTCAAATATGTGCTATATTGATCAATCTTTTTTTTTTATTTTAATTTTTTTATAGTCACGAAAATGATAGTTGGAAGAAAAATCTACGGTTGCCCCCCAAAGATAATCGACCACAAACAGAAGTAAGATTATATCGCTTCGCTATGGTTTATTTTATACCATTATAATATTCTGAATATTAATACCTCCTTTTAAAATAGGATGTAACCAACACAAAGGGTAATGAATTCGAGGACTATTTTCTTAAACGCGAGCTGTTAATGGGCATATTTGAGGCTGGATTTGAACGTCCATCACCCATTCAGGAGGAATCGATACCCATCGCTCTAACCGGTCGGGATATTCTCGCGAGGGCCAAAAATGGTACAGGAAAAACGGCGGCTTTTGTTATCCCGGCCTTAGAGAAAATTAATGTTAAAAAACACAAAATTCAGGCGTTATTGCTCGTCCCAACTAGAGAATTGGCCTTACAAACATCGCAAGTTTGCAAAACCCTCGGCAAGCACATGGGAGTTCAAGTCATGGTAACGACAGGAGGCACGACGTTAAAGGATGATATTTTACGTTTATCCGAAATCGTTCATATTGTTGTTGGAACACCCGGCCGTATTTTGGATTTGGCCGGAAAAGGAGTAGCTGATTTCAATGAATGTCCAACATTCGTGATGGATGAAGCTGACAAGTTGTTAAGCCCAGAATTTTCTCCGATCGTTGAACAGTTATTAACATATTTTCCAAAAGATCGTCAAATAATGCTATATAGCGCTACATTTCCCCTGATCGTGAAAAGTTTCAAGGTAGGGTAGGCGTATATGCAGATTATTGGATGTTAATATAGTAAAGATGCAATTATCAACTCAGTAAGCTTTATCCGCATATTATCCTCTAGGATAAATATCTTGTAAAGCCGTACGAAATTAACTTAATGGATGAACTTACTCTTCGCGGTGTCACGCAATATTACGCATTTGTTGAAGAACGACAGAAAGTGCATTGCCTCAATACTTTATTTTCCAAGGTTTGTAATCACTTATGGCTTTCCTACTTTATCATCATTATTATTATTATTATTATTATTATTATTATTATATTATTATTTTAGCAAGTAAATTTGACATTTTTGCCTCAATCAACAGCTCCAAATCAATCAATCCATTATTTTCTGTAATTCCACTAATCGCGTTGAACTCCTTGCAAAGAAAATAACCGAACTAGGATATTCTTGTTTTTACAGTCATGCTAAGATGTTGCAAAGTCATCGTAATCGTGTTTTCCATGACTTCAGAAATGGCGTATGTCGTAATTTGGTGTGTTCTGGTATGTATTGATATACGCAGATAGATATTATTTGAATGCGCCAAAAGAAATCCATACATCCAAACACAGAATCTCTACACAATAAATGCAACTTTCAAAAATTACATGTAATTAAAAAAATGAACATACGACTGGTAATATACTATTATCCCAGGTCTAATTTTTCTGTTATGTGAAAGTCAGCATTATTTTGTACATTCTTTTATATACAAGATTCTATATGATTTTACTGGTTCTCTTTTGGTGATACATATTTTTGTAATTAAATTAATGTCTATATTTCGATTAATAATTACAATTAGACCTGCTTACTCGTGGAATTGATATTCAAGCGGTAAATGTTGTGATTAATTTCGATTTCCCAAAAAATGCCGAAACGTATCTTCATCGTATCGGTCGTTCTGGCCGTTTCGGTCACCTTGGACTCGCAATTAACCTTATTACATACGAAGATCGTTTCAATCTTTATAAAATTGAGCAAGAACTTGGAACTGAGATTCAACCCATTCCGCCTGTCATTGACAAGCGATTATATGTTGCACCCAGTGCACTTGATGATGTCCAATCTCAACAACAACATCAACATCAACAGAATAATCAAAACATTCGTAATCAAAACTCGCGTAACTCTGGTGGGATGAGGCATCCTAATTCGGGTCGGTCAGGCATGGGTGTCAAAGCTGCTTCTTGAAAGGAATTCATCACAGAAAGGGTAGGGATGTAAATTACCGTAATTTTGCGTAATTTTATGTAATTTTGCGGTAAATTAGTTTTCATGTAATTTGTAATTTTGAACACATGCAAAGTTTATTAAATTACCACAGAGCACTACATTCAGTATTCTATGTCGCGATTTTTTTACATCATAAAAATTAAGAATCAATTAAGAGTTACACGTATCACGCGTATTATGCATCACATAACATATTAAGTAGTATTTTAAATAGATCCATATTTTTTGTTCACACCAGATGCTGAATGCCGAGCTCTATGGTATTGTTCGCTTAGTTCATTTAAAACCATTTTAAATAAATACGAGTATGTGTAGTTTATAATGAAACTAAAATGGATCAAAAAATTGAAAATGTGGGATCAATAAGTTAAGCGAGTTGATGAAAAAAAAGAAAGTTACAAGTACAAATCAATATAATGATGAATTCAGGGACAATGATTTTCTGCGGTGATATTTATTTTTAAAATAAATATCACCGCAGAAAATCATCGTCCCTGTGATGAACAAAAAATGCAACTCAAGAATTTGAAAAGCATGTACTTTAAGAAATCAACATCAAACGAAATTCCTAGTGCTAATAAGATGCGAAAACAAGTTCAAATAACTTTTCTCAAGATCAAATCAATCAGAATCTTGCCCATGCTTTTTTCACCTCAGAATCCATTCAAAATAGTTAAAATGAAGATTTCTGCCTTTTTTTTAAAAAAAAAAGTTTGCTCTTTTTTTTAAATCTTCCTCTCTGGTTCGCTTTTTAATAATGATATGTACTACAAATAGTTGATTAAAACGCACTCGCTGGATCGCCTTGCCATTGTTTAATTGGTGATGGTTGGTCAAATATTAATAAACTATTTGCAATTAACTAAGTTATATAATAATACACTTATTTTATAAATCAATTCATATTGATGAAGGGCACTATACGGCAGAAAAAATTGTCAAAGGAATCGAGGATATAATGCAAGGAATTGGAATTAGTAAATTCCGTAACATTAATACAAACAATGCAAACAATATGAAAGCTGCATGAAGGTCTTTCTTGGATGCTGGGCACACGAAAACAATCTTTGGGTTAAAGATATCCTTATCCGTATTGAATGAAGATGGTATAGAAATAAATAATAACATCAAAACAATGATTTTGGTTGATCACAAAATTACACGATTCTAGAACCGTTTATTATTTTAATACATAAATTAGAAAATGATGTTTCTTCAGCATATAAAACTTTACAAATTTCAAATCATATGATTATGAATAATTCGTAAATTTTAGAGGAACTATATATATAATAATACTATGCAAGCAGCTATGAAGTCGATGGGTATATAATCAAGTTGATCTAAGATTTTTATTTCTAGGGAAATATACTGTATATAGTATAATTACATCGAATTACAGATGTTGATTAAAACCGCCTTGAGCACAAATTATCGTTATTCAAATTTTAACATAAAGTTGCACAAAAATATTAAGTTCATACATTCGGAATTACATAATCGAATGCTTACCAAAAAGTAGAAAAACTCGTTTACAATATCGGGAACAAGATTTATATTAGTAAAAGATCTGCAAGAAAGTAACATCTCATAGCATTTAAAGATAGAAGAAACGTAACTTAGAAAATCGAAGTAATGGTCTAGATGATGTTAAAATTGAACTGTTTGATGGGTGTTAGATTATGTTTAATGATGGTTAGTATAAATTTGATAACTATTTTTTTTGAGGAATAAAAAATTTTGCTTATTAAGAGCGATAGTTATTTTCTTGTGAACTTTATGAGTATTTCTAGTAATACGTACTGTTGCATACATGTTTGTATTCAAATAATGTTGGCTAAATTTTATAATCCTATTATGCGTTAAACTTACATAAAATAAGTCAATAAACTCGTATAAATTATATACGTACAAGAAAGTAGGGAAAGCATATTATTATAGCGTGGCATCTAATTACCATAAAGCTATATACTATAACAGTATGTCGTAATGCTGTAATGCTATAATGCTACGTATAATATTTATTGTTCGAAGCGGAGATAAAAATTTAATTTAAATATATATATATATATTTAGTAGCTAATAGCTTCGTGTTAACAATTTAAATTTTTTAAAATTATAAATATATAAATTTTAAAATTTTAAATTATTTAAACATACAAATATACAGTATATTGGGATTTAAATTTTTAAACTTTAAACGATAAATTTTAATCTATATATTAAATTTAAATTATCAATTTCGTTTTTTTTTTTTTTTTTTTGTTATACGTATTAGAGTTCCAATCCGTTAAGATATCCGGGTCTGAATATCTGATATCCGGATAATTATCCGAATACTTGTCGATATCTGAACGATCTGGATTATCCGGATAATTCATATACGGATAAACGGATGACGGATTTATCCAGATTGGAACTACAATATTTTTTTGAAAATTTAAAAAAAATTTAAAATTTAAATATATATCGATATTGTATAAAATTAAATCTCTTTATAATTACTGTGGCAGCTTATGCTAAGTTTGGCTTATATATACTGAAAATTTAAATTATTTTATTATAAAATTATAGAAAGCTTTTTTTTATAATTAGATTAGAGTTTAGGATTAGAGTTATTAATAAAAGAGTATAAGTAGATTAAATGAAGATTTCAAATCTTTGTATAAGTCAATCTTAGTATAATTATAAATAAACTAACCTTTTTTAATTAATACAATATTTTGAGTAATTATAAATTGTAATTTGATTTACTATAATTAAAATTATTTATAGTATATAACTTGATTAGTCAATTTTTATAAAAAATTTTTATGGTTTTTTATTAATAATTACTAAATTGTTTTTAATAAATTTTTTTATTTAAATTTTACAGATTTATAAAATTTAAATAAAAGGATTTATTAAATTAATTTGATAATTGTTAAAATATTTTTAAGTTTAATTTTATTAATTTTATTATTAAAATTTAGAATTAAATACTGTATAGCAAAATGATATTAAAAATTAAATTTTGATAGATTTGTAAAATGTATATACAGTACAGTATATAGTATATTTTAAATATTAAATATTATTCCTGATGATCATTTATACCAAATTTTCTTACTGAACAAAAACAAAAATTTTGAAGAAAGTAGTGCTCTGACAGAAGTGAGGCCACTTTATCAACAAAGTCATGCATAGATAACATAATAGAAGGGGAACAACAAATGAGTTTTTTAAATCACTTTTTTTAAAATTTGAAGTACCTGACTTCAAAAACCACTTCCCATATTCCTGCCAAGTTTTTGGTGTTTTTTTTTAAAATTTTTTTCAAAATGTGGGAAGTTTGACATGTCCCTTATAATAGATTGACATTGTTTATATAGCCAAATCGGGAATGGCAAGTCATGAAAAAGTTATATTACTACATATTTGACCAACAGTAAATGATATATAATGGATCCGTAAGGTAAATAAGAAAAATTTTGTATTCCTTATATTATTAAATCATTTTAATACTGAAGTAAAGTAAAGGTGAGGATTGTTTTATGAAGTATTAAATAATTTTTTAAGCCTCACACTGGCACAAATAGTGTTGTTATGTTCTGTTTTTTTTTTTGCTCTTCTTTTCTTTTTGTCTTTTTTTTTCTTTTTTGTTTTTGGTTTTCATTTAGGTTTTGTAGCTTTTTCTCTTTTTTTTTTTTTATTATTCTTTTTTAGTTTAATTTTTTTTTAGTTACTTGTCATTCTTTAGGCAAGGATTATGGAATCCTCTTGCTTGATAATTAGAAGAGGAGTGATTTAAAGGAATTGCAGTCATAACAGACTGTAAAAACCATTTGTTAATATACTTATTTACTTTGTTTATAGAGATAATAAGTAAAGAGATAAATTCTACTATAGCAGGTTGATACTTGTAACTTAGGTAACCAAGCCTATTGGTTTGGTAAAATTAATAGACTGTGTAGTTTGTTTATTCATACCTAATAAAGTGATGACATGACTGCCAAAGTTTTAAAAAAATATATATATTAAATATTATATATAGAATACAGTATATACAAAATACTGTATACTGTATACAATAATATTATTATATTTAAAATTAATTAAATAATTAATATGGTAGCTTCTACTAAGATTGGCTTATGCTAATATCTGGAATCTTTATTTAAATCTATAATATCTACTAAAATCCACCTATACTCTTTTATTAATAACCCTAGCCCTAAACCCTAACCTAACTATGAAAAAAAACCCCTAAAATTTTATAATGTATAAAATAATTTAAATTCTCAGCATAAGCTTCAATTCAATATTTAAAGCTTTTAATGTAAATTTATATTTTCAAAACTTTTGCTTTAGCCAACCTTTATAAAAGTATGATCGAAATTGTCCATATTCCCCATTATCTGATCGACCACTCAAAAACCGAGAAAAATAATCTAGCTATAAACAACACACAAACATTCAAGTGGCTATCGCTCAATCTGTAACATCTTGCGAACACAGTGAGCAATTAGTATCCGAAGTCTGAATATTATATAGTGCTTGCGGCCATTTGAGCATTTGATTGAGTTATAGGCAGACCGGTAAGTTTTTTAGAGAGATAACCTCTGTTTTTATAATTCGAATACCATTCTATGAAAGCAAAATTAAATAACATCAAGATATCATCAAACAAACCTAATGTACAAAGAGTAAATTGAGAATTACCGATATCTTTTGCTTTGACAGGAGCAGCAAATTTTGGTATCTTCCAAAACTTCTCTGGTTTAATAGTAGCTCTTAAAGCAAGTCTGTTATAATATCTACAGGTAACCTTACCACCAGCTTTTTCAATAGCTTTAATTGCAGCTTGAGATGCACGAGCGACCTCAATTGTAATTGGGGTTTTGAAATAATGTGAACCCTAAAAAAGAAAATTTTCAAAATTTGATAATTTTTGTGACTAAAAAAAAAACGTAAATAATAATTAGACTACATCAGCCAACAATTTGACACCATCTTTAACACCATGTACACATCTCGTATCTAAAAGATGTTTCATGGTAATTGTTTGCGAGGGATCAATTCTACCGGTATTTATCCAGTGTTGGATACGATCAAGGTTTAAAGGAGCATAAGTTTTTTCATTCCTATTTTAGAAACAGGTAAAATTTTTTGGGTTATTTAAAAAAATAAAAATAACGCGAAAATGGACATACCGATTATGAAAACCACGCTTCGGAAATTCTACGCTAATAGTAGTCTGACCACCTTCGAAGCCACGTCTAGTACCACCTCTTGCTTTCTGACCCTTTTGACCTCGACCGCAGGTTTTGCCATGTCCTGAGGCAGGCCCGCGACCAACACGTTTACGCTGATAGAAAGTCCTAATAAATGTTATGAACAAAGTAACTTTTGAAAGTCTTAATAAAGTACTTCGTAACAACCTGCTTTGTTGCTCCAGGGTTATCACATAAATTTCCTAAACCTAATAAAGTTCGAGGTTTTTGTAAAATTGTTACATATGTTCGAAAAGTTGTGCAAGTTGATTTTAGAATTGAATGCATATCGATATTTTTTAAAATTAATTAATCGAATTGATCAAGCAACTAATAGTTGAATGATTATCTACATAGCGATAACGATAAAGTTTATGATTTAATTTTAACCAATTAAATTGATTAACTGTGATACGAATTAATCATGTGATCATAAAATTAGACCGGGTAGCTTGTAGCTTGAGGTTAGGGCACTTACAGATAAAATTACTTCGAAATTTTTTATTAATTTGACCAAGGAGGGTTTAGATGGTCGTTTTCCATATTTACACAATTTTTTACTTTCTTTTTTTTTCATCGTCATTGCTAGTGTTTCGCACAGATCGGATCTGACGGGAGGTATTCTTTTTATAGTTCAATTCTCTTTCATTAATGATTTTAATATTCTCAATTACAGTAATGTAAATATTGGACCATACAAATTTATTAATTTAGTTTGTATAGTCTTGATAAACTGAATAGCTTATTTTAAGTGAATTAATAATCTTTATGCTGTATTTTATTCACGAGCTTTATTAACAGTATAGTATATGTATTACTGTATACTTATATAGCTTATAATTTATTATGTATATACCGTAAAATATGGAAAATATAAAGCACAGCACCTTCTACCCTACTTTTTTCAATTTCAGATTAACGGGAATAACGCTAATCTGAAATTAAAAAAAGTAGGGTAGAGGGTGCTGTGCTTATTTTCCATATTTTACGGCATATATTTTTAGTTAAAAAAATTTTGCCCGGGTAGATTTTTTGGTTAGATGCTATAAAAAGTCCGGGTTGCCGGGTTTAAAACTATAATATTTATCGTTATAATTGTTAAAGCCACGTAAGAATTCATCGACAAAATTTTGATTTCTTTATTATGACGTAATATTGAACACAAGTAGTGTTCTAAACTTATTAAAACCGTTAACACTATTAAAGGGATATGTAATACAGTAAGTAGTGTTAAACGGTAATATCTTTAATGCTATCGCTTTGGTAAGTTTCCAATTGTTTTTTCCCTCTTCTTAACAAATATTCTATTGCAGCATGATCCTTTGGTGAAATTCTGTGCTGTCGAAACTGGGATCTTAGAAATTGTTGAAACCTGATTTGTGTTTCCTTTTAAAAATTTATAAAATTCAGAAAAATTCAGGCTAAGAAATTAATATGGCAATTAATTTACTCATTAAATGACATTAAACTTACTAGTGGTTTTCTTTTTATAGCTTTGCAACACTCTCGATAAAATCTGATCACTTCAATTTGCAATCTTGACCGTCGGATACCAGCACTTAAAGCTGTAGATGTGGGAAACATTGTTGAAAACATGTTACCAGTTACTACGTGTACTGTACATACCAGATACGTACGTACGTACGTATGTACGTATACGTAATTCAGAAATCACAAATTTGAAATTTTCCTAACTGATATATATATATGTATAAGATCAACAACATAATCAAGACCAATATTTTATATATAGCTCGGTATATCTGTACATATATCGGTACTTGAAAGTTATATATTTGCCTAAATTTTTTCTACATTCCCTCAATAAAGATGACGGATCAATCAATTTTTGGTCGTTTTCAAGCGAATGACGTTCCATACGTAGCCTTTCGGGACGATAATGAAGATCTTGAGGATGAATTTTCAGATAGCATGGTGCTGCGTCCAACAGCGAGTACTTCGTCACGGACTGCACCTTCAACTTTCCAAAATTTTACTACAAGTAGGCAACATTATCAACATTTGCCCGAGAACGATGAAATTGAAGATTCTGATCCAGAAAGCAACGAAGCGCCCGCTTCCTTGATTGTAGAGATGCCTCAACCTCAACAACAACAACAACAGCAACAGCGCAGTAGAAGGACACACCCAAGCCCAAAACCAGGAATGAATATACGTGAATTAACAATGTGGAAATGGGTCAACGTTGAAAATTTAGACTTGTTTTTTGAGCAGGTTTTTTTTTTACTAATTTAGTTTTTTATTTTTACTGCTGATCTCTAAAACCTTTTTGTGTTTCAAGGTTTATGCATATTATGTTGGAAAGGGCTTTTACTGCATTATACTAAGAAGAATTTTAAACTTATTGTAGGTTTACTGTCTAATTTATTTATTCGATTCCCATTATTTAATTTACCTTTATTCGCTTGATTTAGGACGCTTGGATTTATCATTAGCTTTACCACCTTCTTATTGGAATGCGTTGATTATTCTTTAATAAAGCATAATAATACATTATCTAATGTTATAATACCTCATTGTCTTAGTCGGTACGCGTTTATCTGTTTATCACTATTAAATTATTCCAATAATTGATCGTCTAACTTTTTTTATTTATTTATTACATGGTACCAAGACTATCAGGCTGGTCAATGTTATTTACTACTTTATTTTCTATTGCTTGGGTGTGGCAAGCTGTGAGATTAGTATTGGACATTCGTCGTCTAATAGACATGTATAATTTTTATACATATCTTTTAAATATTCCTGATGTATGTTGATTTAATCGTTCTTCTTCATTATGATTATTTTTATTAAATTACTTTATATATATATATTAGGCTGATATACAAACAATACCATGGCAAAAAGTTGTTAACCATATAATCGATATCAGGGATAATAATCCTACTACCTCTCATCAGGGTCCTAACAATAAACCTCAGCAACGTCTGGATGCTCACAATATAACTAATAGAATTATGCGTCAAGAGAATTATCTCATCGCTCTCTTTAATAAGGATATGTTGGATCTCACGATACCAATTCCTTTTTTCAGACAGAAAAACTTTCTGACAAAGACTCTTGAATGGAATTTACGTTATTGTATCATAAATCATGTTTTTAATGACCAAGGTCAAGTCAGAAGACTTTTTGTTAAAGACACTAAAGGTGTCCAAAGGGAGAGATTGACTCGAGGGTATGCCATAATAACATAAACTTTTTCACTTAAATAATTTTGGTTCTCATAACATAAAATTTTAAAAATGTCCCGGCTTTTAATTTTATTTTCAAAAATTATATATATAAAATACTTATAAAATTTTTTTATAAAAGTTTACCCGGATAGTAAATATAGTCAAAATTTTTTTCAAAATTTTGCTAAATTTGACCCGGCCGGGTTATGAGAACCAATTTTATGGCCTTAGTGGTTCAATTCATATATTCTTTTTCTTACGTGTCCATTATATTACTATAGTCTACGTCGTCGCTTCATCTTCATGGGAATTCTTAATTTAATATTCGCTCCTTTTATAGTGGTTTATCTGCTCATATATTTCTTTTTCCGTTATTTTGAGGTATGCTTCAAATTTTTCAATTTAACTTTACATACATACATACATACATATTTGTTTTTTACGACATTTAAATTTCCTGACTCGGTTCTCTTTAGGAATACCGTAATAACCCGCAGAACATTAGTTTGCGCCAATGGACTCCTTTTGCACGTTGGAAATTTCGTGAATTTAATGAATTACCTCATTTATTTAATCAGAGATTGGACAAAAGTTACAAACAGGCAAACAAATATATTGATCAATTCCCAAAAGAAAAGACCGCCTTGCTTGCAAAGTAATTCTTATCTCATCAAATTTTGACTACAAGTGATATGTTATATATAAATATATATATATATATATATATAAAATTTTTTTTTCATCGAAAATATAGGTTCATATCTTTCATAGCTAGTTCTCTCACTGCCGTGTTACTTATCGCAAGTATTATTGATTCTGAAGTTTTTTTGGGTTTTGAAATTTCGCCTGGTCGTACTGTTTTTTTTTATCTCGGCTTGTTGGTCCCAGTTGTGGCTATTAGTCGCGGAATGAGTGCGGAAGATCACGTCGTATTTGAACCAACTGTCAGATTAAAGAAAGTTGTAGAACATACTCATTATTCTCCCGATAATTGGAAAGGAAAATTAGATACTGACGATGTATGAATTACTATTCATGTTTTGTTATACCAAAATTTTGTAAATTTTTTATTTACATCATAAAACTTTATTCAGGTCCGCAGAGAATTTATTGAGTTGTTTCAAGTCAAGATCATGGTTTTTATTCAGGAAATACTTAGTGTTATTTTCACGCCATTCATCCTTTGGTTTTCCCTTCCGGATTGTAGTCATATCCTTTATTAAAGAATTTAATTATTGATATTAATGTGCTATCAAAATATGACTTCTATAATATTTTTCTTTAACTACATTTATGGTTTATTGCACAGCATATTATTGATTTTTTTAGAGAATTCACTGTGCATGTAGACGGTCTTGGATATGTTTGCAGTTTTGCCGTATTTGATTTTAAGAGACATGGCAACGTGAAGGTAACTTTTAGTTAATGTAATTTGAAAATACTTTATAAGTAATTTATTAATAGATAACTTTCAATTTGAATGAAGTATGGTGCTCCAGCGGAAGTCGAAAATGAATATTACCTTTCGAAAGATGGTAAAATGGAAAAGAGCTTTTTGAATTTTAAGGTCTGTATAAACTTTATAAATTTGTTAGTTTCTATTGTTTACACAATTTAAAAAAAAAATTTTTAATCACATTTTTAATTCATTTATTCTATAAGGCTAATCATCCTGATTGGGAACCTACCGATCCAGCTGGATCTCTTTACCTAAGTCGTCTAAATTTCAGTAACCAAATACACTCAGAACGCCATAATTCAATTCGTTCTGCCCCTATAGATTCAATACTAAAGAACAATCGACGTAGTATGAATAATGTTCATTTTGCTGGTCATAGTTCACCAGATTCAAGTCAGGAAGGACATTTTGCGAGCGATTTGAGTGGTTCGTACCTCTTAACTGGAACAAAAAATACGAATTTATCCGAGTCTAATGAACCTGATCGACCACGGCATCATGGTGTAATTGGATTATTAAACCAATTTTATGAACTTAATAATTCGTCTATGTAGAATTAGGGATGGTAAAAAAACGTTTTAAACCATTTTTTATATTTATATGTTTTTAATTGTTTTAAAAAAAAGTTAAAATTTAACTGAAGTTAAAATTATTGCATTTTGGCCGGTAAATTTTGGGTCCAGCATTAAGCGCTATATTCTTTAGATCGATTAAAAAACATTTTAAATTTTAAAACATTTTAAAGCATTTTAAAAATAAAACAATCATCAGTTCTAAAATCACGTTTTAAAACATTTGCCATCCCTATGTAGAATTATAAATTGTAATTAATTTGATTTATATTATGGAATGGTCAATGATGGGTTATTTTTTTTGTAATGTAAGGTTGGGATTAAATTTGGTGATCCATATAGATTAAGTGAAAATATGTTATTTTAGAATCAATCATTATTTTTTTTTTTCTAATATTTTTGATTTCAATAATATAATTTAAAGTTTAAAAATAAAAAATAAAAAAAATAATGCATCTTTACATAATTTTTAAGTTATAGAACCATTTGAGAATTAGCATGCAAAGTTATTATTAGAGCAATAATAAACAAGTATAAATATTTTTAAAAAAATTAGCAATTTACAAATACAGTATTATCTATTTAAATTCTTTCTATTCTTCACAAAAAGACCAAACTTTAATAATTCCAACTTCTTCTACTATATCTGCATTGGTACTAGATTCTGTTATTATATTTTTAGAAAGAGACAGCTCTGACCATCCAGATGAAGATGGTAATGACTTTGAAAATTTCGCCATTTTATTCTCTTGGTCATCAAAAGTCTCACCATTACAGACACTCACAATTCGACCTTCATCAAAACCAACCCATTTAATACCCCAATTTTTTATTTTACTTTGAGGAATATTGTAATTTGAGTCATTAAATTGATTCAGAGAATCATTCAATGTAACAATACACTCGCCATGTTTCTTTCTTCGTGCAATTAATCCAACGAATGAAAAATCATCATTATGATTATATTGATATCCCTTTAACTCTTGTGCATCATCATAATCATCATAATGTTCATTATTATTATTATTATTATTATTATGATAATTATAATTTTTCTCTAAATTCCAACCTAAATCCCATATCTTAATAGTTTGATCCATAGCTCCAGTAATCAATTTACCATGCTCATCCATAGCGACAGACATAACGCTTCCTGTATGTCCATATAAAGTTTGAATATACTTACATTCCAAAGTCCTTCCGTTATCAAGCACGTAGTATACTTGTAGTGTATTATCAGCATGAGCTGTAACTAATTGCCCAGAATTATATGTAATAGTTGTTATAGGTGCAATGGAAATAAATGGTGGTAAAGTTGTTGATGATGGGAGATATGAACAATGTTTGGTTGAAAATAACGTAATAGTTGAAAATTTAATCTCTTGAATGCCTGCGGTCCAACCTCCTCCGTACATCGGAGTAGAATAAACAATTGTAGCAGTCCAAACGTTCCAATCCATGTCACAATTTGTTGTAATTTGATCAAGTTTCTCTTGGGAACACTTGGTTGATATTTCAATGGGTGTCCAACAAACAAAGCTTTTTAATTGATGTATAAGTTGACATTCGACTAAATTTTCGTAAATCAAAAAGTTTTTACTATCCTTCGATTTGCCTTTATCTTTCTGTTTGAAGTCGATATAATAAATTGAAAGTACGAAATCTTTGTTACAAGTAATCAGAATTGGGGAATATAAAGAACATGCAATTAGAGGACTTGCATTATGTGATATTGCTGATGTAGTATATAATTCTCGATGTTTCCAGTCATTTTCAAGATTTTCATTTTCGTCTCTTTCTAATGTATTAAATTCCCAAATGGTAAACCCTCCATTTGAGTATCCGGAAACAAGTTTACATACGCCTAAATGATCATCTCGTTCATTACTATCAAGTTTTAGGCACGTAATATAGATAGGATTTATACATCCTTGAGTTGCAATAATACGGGATAAAATGTTACTTTTTAGAGTATCTATATGTTCATTATGCTTGCCAGCTCGCCATAGATGAACTTCTGGTGTATTATTTAGGTCAGGATTTGAAGATGAAGCAGTTAAAATAATATGTTTTTTAAATTGAACAAGTGGATTGGAATTTGTGTTAAATGAAAAAACTTGAGTTTTATTATATTCAGTCAAAAGTGAAAAGGAATTTTTTTGAAAACGATCTTGAACCAAATTATCATAAGGTTTAAAATCGATAACACGGCAATTTCCAGTTTGCCAATTGTGATTTACTCGATATATACTTTTCCAATCTTCAATATCTGAAATATCATTTTCATTCACATTTTCGTTGTTAGCAATTATCGAAGATTTAAGTGGATTAGTTGGTTGAGTTTGTGATAATTGGAGAGTTTCCAAACGATATGTGAGATTAGGACGATTCGGTGCTTTAAACCTTGATAAAAAGAGACTTTTCCACAACTAGTATATTCAAATAAATTTTAAATAAGTTAAATAAATTCATTTAATTCAAAAAAAAATAAAGAAAAAAATAAAAGCTCACTTGACGATCGTTGGCAATTCGCCACCATTTTCGCGAAACTTGCGAACATATGCTTACGTTTGCAGCTGATAAATACCTAAAAACATGAAGGTTTAATTCATCCGAAAAAACACTGACAAAGTCTTTTTTTACTTCTATAGTATTATTGACATTCTGAGTGTTATGTTTTGTCTTTCTTTGTTTATTACGAGATCGTTCATTGACAACTTTTTTGTCGCGAAACATGTTAGAATAAATATTATTAATAATTAAAATGATCAAACTAAGCACCGAATTTTATTGATAATTGACCAATAAGAATTAAGAGATTCTATTACCGATATTAAGAATTTTTTTGGTCGGTATGATATAGTGATAAAATGATTCGTCGTAACCCTACACGTTTAGAAATTCGTCAAGAGAATGTTGAACAACTTCAACTTCTTCGACAAGAATATAAGAAAAAACTTTCACAAAAACCAGGAGCAAGTGCTAAAGGTAAAAGAAAAAGTATGGAAATCGAAGAGGAAACGGAAACAAATTTAAACCTTCAACAAGTGGAACATCAAGAGCCAATTGTGGGCGCAGAAGAACTTCGAAATAGAAGAAAGAACATGTAAAATTGAAACACAATTTTTTTTTTTCTATGTAGATATCTAGTTTATCATACATCTTATTTACAAAACATCTCATACATACATATAGGACTGTGCAAGAGAGGATTGGTTTAGTAGGGAATGGAAATCAATAGGTGTAAAGTAGCGGACAATTTTCTTTGCCAATAAAATAATTATCATCTTGGTGAAAAAATAAAAAAAATTTCGTGGTGAATTGTTTTTTAAGGTGTTTTCATGATCACGAATGCAATGTGCCTTATATTGAAAGTTTAATTCTCTTTATCTTTGCGTTCAAACTGATCTTGTCTTAGATCCTATCAAACTGATCTGATCTCATAATTTGCCATATAAACCACATTAATTAGAAGATTTTTTATTATTAGCTTTTAATTATTATGTATTAGCAAATAATATTAGATTTTTTATATTTCTAGATTTTAAAATTTGGTTAGTTAAAAACTAGCAATTTATCTATTTAATTTAGTTTACTAATTTGATTATAGGAGGTAATTTTTTTTTTAATTCGGGCAGTCTTGCCTCTACTATTTATTAGATTTATGCTAAGGTATTTTGGTTACAAGTGTCACAAGTACAATTACAACTATTTAGTATTACAGTATTAGCTCACCCAGTTACTAACTTGAGTACCTATATGCAACCTGCTATATAAGATTTACCTCCTTATCAACTGTTCTGCACCAGGCCAGTTTCAAACTCACTGGATGGTTCCCAAACCTATTTTTATCATATATATCCTGCTTATATACTACTGTACAATATTTATCAAACTTCTACCCCTCATTACTTATTACATTACTCCTAATTTGGTTCTTGTATTACTTTCAAATTGGTGTCTTTTGAGTAGGTGCTCTTTGTGTTTTCAGTTTGGTATTCCTAGAGGAGTTACTTTAAGGGCCTAGCCATATCTCAACAGTTGCCTGTGCCAATCTAGAATGTTATTTCATGTTGATTCAGGTATTCGCATTGTACATCACCAAATTAGGCTATCGTTTCTTTTATAGTACTCCCTATCAGTATAGTGTTACAGAAGTCTAGATCCTTAGGACAAGAGTTATGTATCTCATTTAATTACTATCACAAGCCAGTGACCTGGAATCCACACTTCTGCTGTATTTTATCATTAATTTCTATATAGGTTGTGTGATATATTACTCTCTAGCTATCTTTATTTTTATACTACTGGATTATTTGTTTTCATACTTTTTAGGGTTTCTTTTAGCCAGTTTTCTTTGTTTCTTTGTACCAGAGGTGTTCTATATTTAGTAAAGCCATCCTCTTACCACAGCCTTTACTATGTTTACTACTTCTCTTATTACTTTTAAATATACTGCATATAGCTGTTCTCCTAATCAAGATCCCAATACCACCTTAGAGTTGTTGGTGCTACCTTGCCAATCATAAATTCACATGCACAGCCTTTTGCAGCAAACCTTCTGTGACTCATATCACACACAGTGCTCAGACTTCTTTATAGCTCAGGGCTCCTTCCAAGAATTCTTTATAGCCCAAATATATACATTATATGATCTTACTACTACAGGGTTTCATATTCAAAAGCTTTTGAAAGTTACAAAAATAATTAATTAAATTAATTACTACTAGCTATAATCAAACTATCAACCTCATCTGTGAAGGGTTAGATATCTAGACTACTAGGCTACAAAACCCTAACTCTATAGAAGGTAATTTTAATACTATAAAAGATAAAATTATTATATTTTAAATTGGATTGTTATATTGTAATAAAGACTTAATATAAAAAAAAACAAATTTGACAAAAAATTATTTTATAAAAAATTATTATTATTTTAATATTAAATAAAAAATTATTATTTTTTTTTTTTGGTATTAAGGTGATCTCTTTGGCCTAGAGACTTTTTATTAGAAGACCGATAGCAGTCTTATAATATAGTTACAATGATGGTACATTAAGCCACATGTGCACCTTTTAAGTGTCTAATTTAAGTAGTCTATCTGAAGATTCTACACTATCTGCTATATCCAGTGTTGGCACATGACCAGGTTATAACAGATCATATCACTAAGTTCAATTAGTAAAGTCATATGACTATAGTCATATGATTCTACTAATTAAACTTAATGATATGACCTGTTATGACCTGGTCATGTGCCAATACTGACTGTACCTGCATCCCAACTAGGGGGAGTACCCATTTAAACTATCTGGTTACAACTACCTGCTATTGCCCAACTAACCCAGGGTATTTCTCACTATATA